CGTTGAGGCTTTTAGAAAATTTACATTGGTCCTTTAAAAAAAATCTTCAAAGATTTTACCTTTGAAAATAAATTCTTAAAAATTTGGTATCTAAAAAATATTTTTAAATTTTTGTCATTCTGTCCATTGTTGCTACCCACCCTATAATATTTAATGTTTCTGCTAAAGAATATAAAATCCCGTGGGTATTTCTTAGCCATGTTTTTTTCGCTACTAGCCACATTTATTCTTTAAAGAAAATAAATGACGTATACACCATTACAAGGGTTTACAAGAGTTGCGGTTCATGTAGTTACATGTAGCTGCTTTATAACTCCAAGTACCTCGTGTGGAAACTACTGTAATATGAATCCATAGAAAACACTCAACTCACTCCAACTATTTAGAAGAAATGAAAAAAGACTACAGCAAGGCACGCGAATTTTTATAGTTACGAATTTGGAAGAAAAGGGCAAGAGGAGGGCATATGTGGGAGTTCTGGTGATTGTATAAAAATCACCTCCAACTGTGATTCATACAACAACTACAAGACCACTTTCTCCTTACATCATAGAGTATGTATGTATGTATGCACGTCAGTGTGTCGGTGTGTGAGTGAGTTTCATGTCAAAACCCGTCTAGATGCGATGGTGGCAAAAATGCTGTTTTGATTAATTATAGCTTCCTCTAAACACGGAACCGCTTTGTTACTCCAAGTCCGGTGCAACAATAACATCAGCAGCCATGGCAGCTACAACAATGATGACGACAATGGAAATAATGGCATTCTAAAGATTCAGTGAAAATTTAAATGTTCTTAGCATGCAACTTGTTGTAAGGATGGAATAAAGAAAGAGAGAGAGAGAGTGAGAGAAAGAGACAGTGAAAGGAACCTCAAGGAACAGGCAACATGCACTCGGACAACAGCAATTTATGGCCATCACTTTTTTATAAAAAATAAAAAAAATGAAGTTAACTCCAAAAAAATAATGGCAAAAGAAAGCTAAACAACAAAATATGTGGTTACTCCCATCTTAACAATGTCGAAGAAGACTTTTCTTCTTTTTTCCCTCAACTTAAATAAGAAATTATCCAAGGAGAGAAAAAAGGTGGTTTTGGAAAAACTCAAGGATTTGTGATAATTTTTTTGTATTGTTACAAATATTTTTTTGAAATTTAATTAACATTGTTTGGTATGTTGTTTTTGCCCGGACATAACTTTTTGACATTCTGTAAAAATTCGACTTCGACATCGCCTCTGGTGAGCTGCGGACAAGAGTGATATGAAAATTACAAAAGTACAACCAAGTAATTATTTCCGCAAAATGGAAGCGAAATTAAATTAACATTCTTAAGAGACGATCAAAGGAGGAAATTTGTTTTTTTTTTTTTTTTTTGAAGGGAAAGGGAAAAAAGTGAGAAAGGGAAAATATGCTATTCTTAACCACTTTTACCACCAATAAGCTCTCTATGTAACTCTAGGACTTATTCTTTCATATTCAAGTTCAATAAAATATAAATAGTTCTCAATACCAAATTTGAGGATTTAAGCACTATCCCTTCCCCAAATATGCCATTTAGTACCACTTAGTACTTTTCGCATAATTGTAGTACACATTTCCAAAAAACCAATTCAATATCTTTACCTCAGAGACCTACATTGACCTTAATCTGAAATTTCAGGATTTCAGCATTAATTATTTGCCCAATACCAAATTTAGTACTTCTCGTACAATTATAGTATACATTTCCAAAATAAATCTCCATATCTCAACCCCAGATACCAACGGAGACCTCAATATAAAATACCAAATTTAGTACAATTTAGTACTTTTTATACAATTATAGTACACATTTTAAAAACCACCACCATAACTCAATTCCAGATATCTACTGAGACTTCACTGTAAAATTTCGGGACTCCAGCTCTATTTCTACACCCAATACCAAATCTGGTACCATTTAGTACTTTTCAGACATATATGGTACACATTTCCAAGACCATCTCCATATCTCAATTCCAGATACCAACATCAAAGTTGGGGATTTCAGCCTTATCTCTTCACCCAATAGCAAATTTAATACCATTTGGTACTTTTCGTACAAGCATTCGCAATACCGTTCCATATCTCGATCCTATCCTCAATCCAACAAAAATCTCAAGATCATATTTCGGATTTTCAACTCTAACCCTTTACCCAATACCAAATTTAGTACCATTTAGTACTTTTCGTACAAATATGGGACGCATTTGTAAAACCATCTCCAAATCTCAATTCCAGATACTAACATCAAAGTTGGGGATTCCAGCCTTATCTCCTCACCCAATACCAAATTTAGTACTTTTAAGTACTTTTCGTACAATAATAGCACACATTTCCAAAAAGAGACCTCAATATCAAATTTCACAATTGTATCTTTATCCCTTCACCGAATACCAAATTTAGTAACATTTAGTACTTTTCCTGCAATTATAGTATACATTTCCAAAACCACCCCATACCTCAATTTCAGATATCAACATAAAGTATGGGGATTCCAGCCTTATCTCTTCAACCAATACAAAATTTCGGAATTTCAGCTCAAACCATTCTCCAAATACCAAATTTAGTACTATTTGGCACTTTTCGTACAATTATAGTACAAATTTCCAAAGGCACCTCACAGCAACTCTAATTCCAAATTTAAAATTTAAAGCACTATCTTTTCTCACCCAATACCAAGTTGTACCAAACACGAGCACAATTTCGTACTTTTCGTGCAAATATAGTACACATTTCCGAAATCACCTCTTAATCACAAACCTAACGCTTCGTACATATTTTTAAAACCCCTGTAAATTACTTTCCAAACTAGATTCCTATACCAAAATTCCAAGTTTTAAGCTCAATCCGTTCCACATGATAGTAAAAAGTACCATTTTAGAAGCTTAATAATATTTTAGAACATTTACAACACATACGAATTTCCAAAGTTTCCTGTATTCCCCAATCCTACACTCCCACAGTAATCCCAATGCCAAATTTTCGGGTTACACCCCTGTTGGTTCGCCCAAATACAAATTATAGTTTATTTAGTACATATAAGTACAATCTTCCAAAACTGCCCAAATATCCCAATCTTACACCCCGACAGCAGTCTTATTTCCAATTTTCAGGATACCAGCTCTATTGGATCACCCAAATCTAAATTATACCAAATTTAGTACCATTTAGTACTTATCGTGCACATAAGTAAAAATCTCCAAAACTACCTACATAGCTCAGTCTTACATTCCCACGGTAATCTTATTTCCAGTTTCCAGGATACCAGCTCAATTGGTTCACCCAAATGCAAAGTGTACTAAATTTAGTAGCATTTAGTACACATAAGTACGAATTTCCAATACTACCTATACATATTTCTTATTCCTAGAATGCAATAGTAATCGTATTACTAGATATCAAAATTCCAGCTCTATCGGTTCACCCAAATCGAAATTGTACCAAATTTGGTACCATTTGGTACTTTTCTTGCACATAAGTACCCATTTCGAAAACTTCATTCCAAATTTGAAAACTGCACCTTCATCCGTTCATTCCAAACCCAACCGTTCCAAATTGAGTACCATTTAGTACAATTTATTTATTTTTTTATTTTTTTTTTTGTTGTAATTTTCGTACCCCTTTTAGTACGTATCTCCATAAACCCAGCCTTTTCACTCACCTATGCACCCAGATTGAACTGCAAAAATTCAAGATTCTAGCTTCAGCTGTTTCGTCCGGGCGCTGATTCTTAGTCAGTCAGTCGGTAGATATCAGTAGGTTGACCCGTAAAATCAATGTTCACACCATCCAAAGTCCTTTAAAATGTATTCTTAAAAACTCGCGTTTTATGTTAAAAAAGTCCGTTAAATTTTTTTTTTTCATGTTCGAAAATGCCCTGAAAAATTATTCTAAAGGATCAAAAGGATATTCTACAGGATGACTTTTAAACTCGTTATATTCTACAACGACTGCTAATCCAGTTTTTCCAAAAAAAAAAACCTAATGACTTTCGAATTAACTCTTTTTCCCATGCCAGACATTGCTCTCTTGTGATTTATGATTGCTATTTTTGGGGAAATCACGCCCCTTATGGGCGTAGCCCACAGGATGATGAATAACAAATATTTCATACATTGTAACCCTTTTTCCCTTGTGCATTATGAATTTTTAATAAACTCCAACGAAAATGACGAAACAGAGAAAATCATTAACACCCGTGACTAGTATGGAACATAACCCTTTCCAAAAAAAAAAATTAAACGAAGAAAAAAACACCATTTGATCCTTAGCCAAAGATCGGCACGTGTAACGTGGCACTCCTTGGCTTATTACATATGCTCGGGCAATGAATAAAGATTTTTTTCGAAGTCAATCTTTCAAAAGGGAACACAAAAACACCCCACCAACAAAAGGGCTATACTTATTTTCTGTTCCAGAAAAAAAAAAACACCTTTACCCTGTTCCCTCACACCCCAATTTCTGCCACCATGAGTGCGTGGCATTACACAGACAATCAAAGGTGAAACTTAAGGGATAATATTAATTTGATTTGTTAATAACAATAATAAATTTGTTGCATTTAAATGAACTCGGCACCAAAAGGTGGGGTGGAGGAGGTGTTACCTTTCATTCACTTTCATTTCATGTTCTCAGCAAAGAGAAAAGGGGGAAATCTCTCGTGGAAAAATTGCATGTAAAACGCAGATCACACGTGATATGCTAATATGGTCGGTCATATGAATGACAGAAAATTACAAAAACAACAACAATACTGAAAAAAGTCAAAAAATCGGAAAAAAATGTTACACTGGAACACGTGCTGTTTTTGGATTCCAACTAAGGGCTGTAACTAATCTTAGCACCTGTATCTTTATGCCTTTTTGGAAAAAATATTCGAAATTTTAATTTTCAAGTGTTGTGTAAAGGGGGAAAATTTTGAGGTCCTTAAGGGTATATTTTAATAGTACAAAGCATGTGGTTGTAAGGGATACTTACCAGAACTTGCTAGACGACTGCTGGTCGCTCCAAACATTTGATATGGATCTGAAAGGGAGAGATAAAAATTAGAATCAATTAATTTTATTTTATTTATTTAATATAAATAATTAATAATAATTATAATAAAAATAATAATAATAATAATAATAATAGTAATAATGAAATAATAATAGTAAGAATTATAATAATAACATTAATATAAATAATAATAATAATAATAATAATGATAATAATAATAATAATAATAATAATAATAATAATAATAATAATAATAATAATAATAATAATAATAATAATAATAATAATAATAATAATAATAAATTTAATAATAACAATAATAATTTTAATAATAATAATAATAATAATAATAATTTAATAATAACAATAATAATTTTAATAATAATAATAATAATAATAATAATAATAATTTTAATAATAATAATAATAATAATAATAATAATAATAATAATAATATAATAATAATAATAATAATAATAATAATAATAATAATAATAATAATAATAATAATAATAATAATAATAATAATAATAACAATAGTAATAGTAATAATAATAATAATAATAATATAATAATAATAATAACATTAATAATAATAATAATAATAATAATAATAACAAAAACAATTGTGTAATAAAAATTAATGAAAAATATAGATAATATAAAAATGAATAATAGAAATTGTTATACAATTTTTTTCTTCCTGTTAAATAAATTTCTTTGTTAGTGGTTTGAAAACCCTTAAAAAATAATAAAAATTATCCTCAATTTCTAGCTTTAGAAAAACCCCTAAAAATTAAAGGTTTTTTTGAAAATAGTTTATGAAAATTTCTAATTCTAATATGAAAGATCTTTTACCTTTTTTTTAAAACAAGTATCCGACGATTCTACTATCAACGCTTCTCATTAATTTATTTTACAAAAATAAATAATAAAACCAAAATTAAAAAAAAAAAATAAAAAAAATTCATTTACAAAAGTCCCGAAAAAAAAAATTCAAAAGCCCAAAACGTTTGTTTATTAGTCGAGAACGATGGTGCTGTTATAGGCAGGGAATACCTAGGTTTGGGAAAGAACCACCAATCCTTGTTTTTTGTCTGGAATATTCTCCTCCGTAGCTATTTTAAAAATAGCTCCTCCATTTCCTTGAAAATTTTAAAATTATTACAGTGGAAGCTCATTATATTTGTTTACAAGCGTACCAAAGCATTTTGGTGAAAATTTTCCAGAAAAAAAGTTATTCGTGATGGAATTCAAGCGTGATATGATGTGATTTCTTATATTTGGTTGGAAAACCATAGGTGGCTATCGATAGAACACTTCAGTATTATTTATGTGAATTAATCTTTTGTGTCTCGTACGAGCGTAGTCCGATGTCAAGGAAGTGGACGGAAGAAAACAGCAAAATCAGCAGAAATGGTTCGAAAAGTGAAGTAGGGCGACTTGATCGAAAGCCGCGTCGCAGTGGCCGAAAAATGGCTCGTGAGCTGAATATATCGCAATATTCCATTCGGCAAATATTGAAAAATGAGCTCGGGGTAAATCCATTGAAATTCCAAAAAATGCAAGAACTTACACCGCAACGAAGAGACAATACACTCAAAAGAGTGAACTGCCAAATTGGGTTTTCACCAATGAGAAAACATCATTCGTTGTCCAGCTGTTTGCAAAGAAGCAAAATAATCGTGTTTACTTGCCAAAGAGGTCAGCTGAAAACATGCACCTTCGATTGGCCACCAGAACTCAAGTGACGGCCAGAACTCAAGTGCCGGCGTGACCGCCATTACAGCCGATGGTTGCTCTCCGCTCGTATTAATCGACCGTGGCATCAGAATAAATGCCGAATATTATCGCGAAAATATTCTGGAGGGTGTATTAAAGCCTTGGGCACGCAAACATTTTGGCCGCAAACCTTGGACATTCCAATAGGACTCAGCACCATCGCACTCAGCACGCGCCACCCAAGAATGGTTGCAAAAAGAGGATCCTCTCTTCATTTCCAGCCCAAAATGGCCACCAAAATCTCCGGATACCAATCCGTTGGACTATTGTATCGGGAGTATTTTGGAAAGCAAGGTTGGCACTAAAAAACACCAAAGTGTCGAACACCCCAATCAAGCGCTTCGCCGGAAATGGGCTAAAATAACGTAGAGCAACATTCGGGCAGCGTGGGACGGTTTCATTGGCCGTTTCGTGTCAAAGGTGACCAATTCGAACAAATCTCAACTTATTCTAGAATTTGATGCTATTTCCGGTATTTTTTGGTTTCATCCAAATTTTTTTGAAAAAAATGTAAAAATTATGGCGTTCGACTTTCTTGCAGCTTTTTATCTCACCATGTATATGTATATATATTTTTTTTTAAATTTCGAATTTATGCTCTGAAGGCCCTTGAAGAAATACTTATAAAAACCCTATATACCCTATGTATGTTAATCCCTTAATTGGTTTTGTGCATTTAAAAATAAAAATGCCAATCAAAAAGTCCTTGAAAATATATTGTTTTAAAATTCTGGCATAATGGCCTGAAAATTTATTAAAAATTATTATTAAAATCCAAATTGAAAAACATATTGGTTCTGGAAAAAATAATCTTTAATAATCCGTGATTATAAATCTGTTAATTCTTAAGAAAATATTCTATAAAAAACACTTTTAAGGTCTCTTCACCATTGAAAATTGTCTTAAAAACCATATTTTTGTTGGTACTCAAAACAATCTAAAAATGTCTATGCTCAGTGATATGAAACTTCTTTAAAAAAAAAAATATTTTAAAAATCCACATTAAAATATCTGAAAGTACTCCCCAAATTTCCATGGTTATTAAATTGTAAGTCATTATAAACAATTATTAAAAAATCTAGTTCAAAATAATATTCTTAAAAATTCCATAGCTATTGATCTGTCTGCCTTGTACAAATGTTGCCAAAAATGTCAGCAATATTGATGTTGTAGTCCATAAAAATATTTTCATAAGTATCCAGGTTCTTCGTATGTTGAAACAATATTCTCAAAAATCCAGGTTTGTCGTCTAAAAAATCTTCTTAAAAAATAAAATATTCTTAAAATCTTAAAAAAATCTTAAAATAGTTGCGCCTTGAAAAATACAATTTTAGGATTCATGCCAATTAATTCCTTTTAAAAGATGTTTGTCTATTGGTCCTTGATTTAAAAAAAAAACTTAGATTTATTACTTTACTGATCCATGGAAAAATATTTTTAAAAATCTAGGATTAGTTATTTTTTTGATCCTTGCAAGACTTTTAAAAATAGTTGTAGAAATTCATTAGTATTTCGGTTCTTAAAAATCTTAAAAAATTAGGTGATAATCTTTTGATCCTCAATCAAACATATATTTAAAAAAAATCCTTTAAGGATTCATGTCAATTGGTTCTTAAGAAATTTATTAAAAATTTGTAGAAGATGTTGGTCTATTGGTCTCTGATTTGTTTTTAAAAAATGTAAGTCTATTAGTTTGCCGATCCTTGGTAAAATATTCTTAAAAGTCTAGGATTAGTTTTTTTTTTTTTTTGATCCTTGCAAGATTTTAAAAAATAGTAGTACAAATTCATTAGTATTTCGGTTCTTAAAAATCTTAGAAAATTAGGTTTGATAATCTTTCGACACTTAATTAAATATATATTTAAAAAAATCCTTTAAGGATTCATGCTAATTAAAAGATGTTGATCTATTGGTCCCTGATTTTTTAAGTAACTTTATTATTTTGCTGTTCCTTGAAAAAATATTCCTAAAAATCTAGGATTTTTGATTTTTCTATCTAGCAAGGATTAGCTAGATTTTTTCTTTAGCAAAATCTAAAATAAAATTAGGTTTGATAGTCTTTCGATCCTTAATCAAAGATTCTCAAAGAAATATTTAAAATAATCACATTTCCGTTTTTAGATTTTCAAAGATATTTTAAAGGTCCACCATGTTCATCCTGTTGATCCTTAAAATAATATCCCTCAAGAATTTTTTCTCAGTTGCAAAAAAATCTTGATATTCAGCTTCAAGTCTCCATATCAGACACATTTCTGAAATTGTTTGCATCTCACACCATCACATCAGCTTTTTTTTGTCCAAATGGCAATTTCAAACAGCCGCTCACAAGTGGCACTTGAAAAGAAACAAATACGAGTACTTTAAATACCCATTCGTTGTTGTTCTTGGTGTCGACGATGGTGACGACGACGAGAACAACGACAGTGACTGTAAATACCATGACGAGGATAACAATTGAGGACGAACGACGCTGAGGACAATTCCACAAAACACTTGAAACGCATTTGCGGCAATGACACATTTAACCAAAAGCGAAAAGGAGTTTCAATTTTCAATTCCAACTCTCAGGGAACAGAAAAAGTTATGGGAAGGAGTTCCATACGAAAGGGGACAGGGAGGATGGGTATATAAAAAAAAACACTGCCAAAGTGAGGGATCTGCGTACAAAAAAAAAAAAAAAAAAATGAAAATACTTTCAACGCCAGTCCTGGCTATAAATGTCCTTGTTTTTTTTTTTTTTTTTTTTTTGAGCGACTCGCAATGTAAACGTCAGTTCGGCTTCAATGCGTATTGAATTGTAATGAAATGAAATGGCAATTGAAATGAGTCCTGCGTGTGCCAGGAGAGCGAGAGAGTGGTTGTGAGTACTGCGTGTGTGTGTGTGTGGAGTAGTATTGGTGGTGGTTGTGTTATTGTTATGCTTTAGTGCCAACAAATAGTAATCCGCAATTAGAGTACTTGCAAATGTAGTTGACACAAAACTAGTAACAGCAACAACAAAGAACAACAGGAATGTAGCAACAACAAAAAAAGAAAAGAAAAACAACAAATAAATATCAGCTATTGTTGTTCCCTGACTTAATGTGATGTCGACCTGTCAAAAGTTGACGGTCACGAGCACCACTTTTTTGTTCGGCTGGCTTTGGTTTGGGAAAACATTTTCACCAAAATAATCGATATGGAATTATTAAGCTTGTAGTGCGGATTCGGTCACATGACCAAAAATAGTAATGCATGGTTGAGAT